AAAACAGTAAAATTGTGAAATATTTTTACTATTTAAAACAACTGCTTTCTATTTTAATATACTTTAAAATGTAATTATTCCTGTGATTTCAAATCTCAATTTTTATCATCATTACTCCAGTCACATGATCCTTCAGAAATCATTCTAATATCCCGATTTGCTGCTCAAAAAACATTTATTATTATTATTAAGATGCTTAAAACAGCCGAGTAGAATTTTTTCAGGTTTCTTTGGTGAATAGAAAGTTCAGAAGAACAGCATTTATCTGAAATAGAAACATTTTGTAACATTATAAATGTCTTTATCATCACTTTTGATTAATTTAAAGCATCCTTGCTAAATAATGTTTTATTTTATTATTGCATCCTTGCCCCCCGGCCCCCACCCCAACTGTTTTAAATATTGATAATAATAATAATAATAATAAACAAAATGTTTCTTGAACAGCAAATCAGCACATTAGAATGACATCAGTCCAATCAGGCGTCAGAACAGAAGGGGCAGAGTACAAATACCGTGAGTCAAGAAGTCAGGCAGAATCATACACAGGAATCAATCAGGAACAGAGGAACTATAACGCTTGGTAAGGCAGATGAACTGGCAATACTTTGCGACCAGCACATGGACTGGTCTCAGTTTATATGAGAGTCAAACAGGAAATGGAAGTAGAGGAAGCAGAGGGAGTGGAGCACGGTCAGTACTCGGGCGAGGGCTCCCTCTGCTGGCTTGGCGTTACACTTTGATCACAGAAAATCACAATATTACTGCTTTTGCTGTATTTTGGATCAAATAAATGCAGGCTTGGTGAGCAGAAGAGAATTCTTTAAAAAACATTAAAAACCTTGACTGGTAGTGTAAGAAAATTTGAATACAGGTATACATTTCTGATCCAAATATACCAAATTGTCTGAGCACAATGACAAAGTCCTTCAAAAATACTTGCAGTCAGACACTTTAACACGCATCCACTTTCATCCAATATAATAAACTCAAGCCCTTGCAGACAAGACCACTCTGTCTCCAATCTCTTGCTTGTCTTTATCCAGATGTTGGGCATTTCTCAGTAATTTTCATCAACAGCCTTTAGCAAGGTCAGCGGGGCCCGATTCAGCTATAAAGTACATCTGAATGCTGATTTGGGTGCAGACAATGGCCTGCTACATGCTGTTTGGAAAAATTCCCATCCATAGCCTTTCTTCCCTGAAATTTATGAGGGTGACGCAGCATAGTGCCTCAGCCTCTATGATCCCATTCTCCTCTGGTGGATTGCTTTCCTAATGGACACTGACAGATGGGGCTGGAAATAGCAGCGCTGCCCCTGCCTCTGCATGCTCGTTCTTCATGGATCTTCTTTCTTTATACTCTTTCTCACTCTCTATTCAGACATACTTTCCCAACAAAAACCAGTCGGAAATAAACACATCTTACATTTCAATTAGTTCTTTGATGCATCCTTCAAACTACTGGACATTCGCCCAATTTTGTGACTGTTTTACAGACAAAGCCAGCAGTGATTTCCTTTAAGAATTCTGTGAGGGATGTATGTTTAATTTCATGCGGGATAATTAGTGGAGCTTATGAATAATAGATGTGGGAGGTGGTGAAGAGAAATGTGTTTGACACCAGCTTGAGACGGACCCTGTGGAGACCTACAATTTTTCCGATATAATTTGTATCTAGTATGAGACAGAAAAACTACCTGACTAATGGTATTAGAAGACATTTGTAATGCAAATAAGCAATGCAAATTGTATTGTAAATATATGTCAGTAAGTGGCATTAAGCTGCGCCAACAAATATAACATTAGCCACTACAACACCTGTGCTGGTGGGGGAATTTATCTCATGCCGAATGCCTCTTCCTGACTGGCTGATACACCTGACCGTCTCCCGCTGAGGTTCCAGGATGTCCCGGTACTTCGACACCATCAGCACCGAGATAAAATAGACAACAGCGAGAGCCAGGAACTGGGCCTGCTTACTGTCATCCTGTGGAGCACAACACAAAAACATGAAGGAGGGTACGAAGAAGAGTCAACATTAGACTAAAACATGTCACGCAAAGCAGAAATGCTACTCTGAACTGATTTTGTTTTGTTAGTGCACCGTTTCAACAAAGAATTACAGAGTGACATTTCAAAAATAGCAATAAATGAAAAAAAACTATGAATGAATGAATATTCAATATTTTATAAAAAAATAAAAATATATAATATTAATCTAGAAAAATAATATTAAAATAATATTACTTAAAATAAAGTAAAGTAAAATAAAATAAAAAAGTATTATATCTAGTGCTGGGCAACAATTAATCGTGATTAATCGTATCCAAAATAAAAGTTTTGTGTACATAATATATGTGTGTGTACTGTGTAGAAAATGACCTGAACTCCTGCGCTCAGAGCCGGTAATTTCCAGCAAAATGAGCAACCATTGACAAAACATGATGTGGATGTGACCAATCATTAAATAAAGCTGCATATTGTATTGTTGTGACTCTACTCAGTTATTATAAAGGTGTGTTTTACTTTGGGCTGTGGCTGGATTTATCTCTGAACATATGCCAGTAGTGCCAATTAGTTTTAATAGTTTTAATAGTGGCAAACTAATATATATATATATATATATATATATATATATATATATATATACACGGTATATGTATGTATACATTCTGCCTTTCATTAAAGAAAACAAGATGCTTTTGAACATGGGGAGATACACATGCACACTTTTCTTTAAAGGGCATTTGAGCACGGTTTGAGTGACTCACAACATCGCGAAAGACAGCAGCTCGCAGACGGTTGATGTCCACGTCTTGCAGAAGTCGGTCCAGGTCCTTAATTGGAGAAACATTACTTGGAAAATGTTCTATGGTGGTCTAAGGCAAGAAAAGCAGACATTTTAAACAGGCACTTAACACTTTAATTTAACAGTTGTCACACTGCAGATCTCGTTTACACATTCACACCATACCCACAGCACCAAATCACACATAACGTGACAATGTTATATTGTGTGGAAAAAACAAATGTGGCAAGACACCACATACTGTACTTTCACTCTTTAACAAAGACAGCTTGAACACAGAGTAGACTACATGTTAAATGTTATAATACATGTATAAAAAAAGTAAAGTAAAAGTAAAAAAACAATTCAATTGTGTCATAAATGACATAAATTTCAAGTATTATTTATATTACATAAATTATAGATATCACTTTACTTTTGGACAAAACGCCTGCAACAAGAAACCCCTAATTGCATAGTGAGATTACAGAAATTGTGTTTAGTGCTTGGATGCAGTGTAGCAGAGTGTGCAGTAGAGTGGGTACCTTGCTGGCCATGGAAACACTTTGCAGGCCCTCCTGAGACTTACTGGAAGACAAGGTGGACTTCAGACTTCTGTCCCTCTGATGCTGACGACACTCTAAGCAGTTCCTCACAGCCACACAACATACTGAGACAGAGAGAAAGAAAGAACACCAAATATAATAGTAAAAGGGTGGACAAAGAAGAATGGAGGAGTAAAATCATAAATTTACATAAAATAATTGTAAATAAACTACAAAACTGAATCATTTGATTCTGGGTGCTGATTGATCAATATAGTGTCCCAATATATGGGCTCCCTGAATTACAGTGACAACCCTGCTTGTATCTCATTGCTTAAATGCGTAATATAATATAAT